GAGACGAATGGTTTTTATTAACATTTTAATGTTTTCACAACTTATATCTAGCTCTTTGTATTAGCTTCAAATGTAGTTAATTCCTTTTACTTAATCAATAATTTGATTTAAATCCAAACAATTCACAATTTGTCAAAGAAGCCAATGGTGTGATGAATTTTGTTAATATGATCAAAAAGCCAAGTGTAAACTTTCAAACAAACTGGTAAGTTCAACTTCAGTATAAAATGCCAAGACTGAAATATTAATTGTAATAATATTGTTGTAAATAAATCAGGTAGAGCACACTTAATTGAGGAGTAGGTTCAGTTTTGGTCAAGTCTGGTTTTCTTTGGTCAAATATAGCTCTAGTTGCATTAAGCATATCCATGTCTTGTCAAAGGCTGTTGTGGGTTTACTTGAATTTAGTTGTGAAGAAATTTGAGGTAAGTGTAACATATGACCTAATGGGAAAAAATGCCATCACTCACTCGATTACAGGATTAATCCTGTATCTGAAAAAACTTAAAATTACTGAATAGTACAAAATGTTTCCTTTTTAGAAGAATAACTGAATATTTTTGTGTAAAACTACACTTTTCACTTTTGTTTTTTTATACATCGCCCATTTAGCATAAAACTCAGCAGGGAAGTGATTCATTTTTAATGCTAGTTTTACAGTTTGAGTGCCATATTTTTCAACCTGCCTAAGGCACAGTTTTGTTCACACAGGTCTTCTTTTTTCCTTTTTGAGCAACCCATATTTTTACCAAAATTGCATGGTAAATCAAAATGGTTCACACAGAGAAGAGGTTAGGTGTGAATATTGACATTAATCATTATAACCTATGGTTTTGTAATGAAATTGCTTTTGGCATCCAGGTAATTATTTGTCATATTGCATATATGGATCTGGATTTAATTAATAGAAAGTTTGCATTTCATTCCATGGTTTGAAAACTGGTCTCTTAAATAGTACATTTCACTCTTTTTCTGCAGAATGAAAGTCAAACTCATCCAACAAAAGATAATTAGGAGTCTGTTCCAGTTTCATCAAACTTGCATTTACCGTACTGTTGGTTTTTTTTTTTTAATAAATAATTTGTGGAAATCAAATCAGTCAACCTGGAGGGTTTTCAGCTGCCGTTTGGTGTCATGCGTAGTTCAAGAAGAAGTTTATTTTTCCCAGAGGTTTTGTTTTTTTTCATCTGATAAAATAGTGAAAGAGTAGTTTAATAGATAGATTGGCCCCACTTCTTATTTCCCTTCACTGTATTTCTATTACGCAGGTGCTATTTTATCACTTGCAGTCAGTTTTAGTCTTTTATACATGGGTTTACCTATCATAACACCAGAGCTGGTGCTGAGATTTGTTTCTGCATTTTTATAAGTCAAATTAGCATATTTATGTAGCAATTTTTTTTTTCATTGTAAAAAAAAAAAAAGTCTTTCTATGGGCCATTCTCTTTATCTGAATTCCGTATAATGAAAGGAAAAACTGATGTTTTCACAGTCCTATCTTTTTTTTTCCCTTTCTGGCTCCCTCGCTCTCTGGCACGTCTGTACTCTGGATTCTGTATATTTGTGGCCCCTGTCTCTTTCTCTCCCGCACACATATCTTCTCCTGTGACTCCTTTTTTCAATTCTCCTTGGTTCTCCTTCTACCCTCTCTCCTTACCTTTTTTCCCCCTTTTTTTCCCTTCTCTATCCTCCTCTCTCTCCCGCTCCCTTGCTCTCTCCCAGTGAAAGGCTGAGAATACCCAAGGGAGCTGATGCAATTAAAATGCTAATCCTGTCTGTCTACAGAGAGAGGGAGAAGGAGGGGGGGGGCTGACAGCATGAGGGATTGCGGCTCACATGGAGAACTCGACTGAAATGGAGAACAGGGGGGTGGGGGGCACTGGGGGAGGTGTGTGTGGGGAGGGGGGTGCGCTGAAAGGGAGGGGGGAGGGGACGTGTGTTGGGGAGACGGAGTGAAAAAGGGGATGCTAGCGAGGGAAAAGACAGACAAGGATAAAGCTTGTGCTGTGAGCTGAGCAATGATATACTGATTACGTTTAAGCCTTATCTATGCCTATGTGTGGAAGGCATTACAGTTAATGTACAGCACTATACTACTGGTTAGGTTGTTCACCCTTACCTGCAGCACTTCATATATTGTGTTGTCTGCACAGCACACCATTTCCACATTGGCTGTGCAGAAATGAGAATGATTATGTATGCAGTGAAAGCCCAGCTGGATACCCTGAATATTTCATAGTATGTGTTGCTCGCTTCGTCTCTCAATACCACACCGCCCAGCTTGGCTGGTAACGTGTGCATAATAGTGTGATTTCTAAGATCTTTGAATGCAGCGTATGGGCCTTAAGCAGTCGTACTATTTTTTTATTTTTTATTTTTTAAAGGTGAATTTAAGTATTATTACTTATAGCACTGCTGAGTTTTAGCTTCTCGGTAATAGACCCAGTCGGGTATTGGGATACATTTGATCAAATGGAAACACTGTTTAGGTTCTAATATGCAGCCAGCTTTCAGACCTGAAGACTCTTTGTTGTTTCTAGTTTTCACGAGTTGTATTGGTGGCTTCAGAGTCAAGGACTTTTTAAATTATTCTTTAAAAAGTCTTTATATGTGTCTGTGTCATATGGTGTTCTCTTCTGCGTGGTATCTTAACTCATCTTAACAGATGCTATAATACCACTAGACCACTAGACTGTGCATGAGTGTGATTCTGGATAATCACAGCTTAATTGGAGTAATTAGGGGAATGTAGGGGCATTAGGCTACAGCTGGGGGGCCATAATGAGTGGGGGCAAAAGGGAGGGGGAAAGAGGTGAGAAGCTTCAAGAGCCACAGTTGCCCTCTTAACTGTAGGTCAGTTGTACATCTCTGTAAATGGGCTGTAAAGAACAAAGCATAACTACACATAGTTATGTAGTTATAATCGGCATACATAAAACTTAGGCAACACTAATAATTGCGTAACCATTAATATATTGGATACAAAAAAGATCTTGCCATTGATATGCAATTTGGATATACTTCACATAGCTAAAAATTGTACAGTTCTTTTGTGAATTACAGAAAAGAAAGGAAAAAGAGGAGGGAAAGAGATGGGCGAATCAGGGTCATTAGTTCAGGCGGCTGGGTCTGCTGCATTCCTGAGCCCTGAGATGGGGGAGCAGCAGAGCAGGAATGTGCCTTGGAGAGAGAAGAGACCTAAGCAGAGGGAAAAGAAAAAGGCAAGAAGGAACAAGAAATAAAAAAGTGAAGGGTAGGAAATGGGGAAAGTTGGACACTTGACTACTTACAGCCTTGTAAAATGGTGGAACAGACTCATTTATCAAAAAGAAGTTATGAAAAAGAAAAAAACTCATTTGCTCCATTGCACTTGGAAAATTTAAGCAAAACTGTTTTTGTCCTCATTGCTTCACATCTGTTACCCTACACTACAGCTCCAGTCATTTGTTAGCTTTGACTTCTCCACAGCTGCGGAAAACTTGTTTTTCATTGCGACCCTTAAGGACTCCAAGTAAAGACTCACAGGTCTCATAAGAACTGAACTTTGATACGCTGACAAACTAGAGTAATCCTTAAGGAAGACAAGTGCCTAATGCCACTCAGTTTCCACAGGGATTAATCTCATCATCCATACTCGTAGAATCTGTCTCCCTTAAAATCCCTGTTAACTTTGTCTGTTTTCAATTTTTTCTTTTTCTTATTTCTTTTAGTCTCAAGTTACAAAGATCAACATAAATGTGGTTACAGTACTGGTTTTATATGTGACTATGAATCAATATTTCCAATCATAATGTAAATATGACCTTAAATGTATTTATTTTACTATTGTGCAAAAGCTTAGGTGTGTTAGATTATTAGTAGTAGGGAGGGGGGGGGGCATCATAATTCCTTAGTTTTTTTTTTTTTTTTTTTTGTTTTTTTTTTGATGTCCTTAAATGGCTTGATTTCTGTGACCAACAGTCAGAATATTCACTTTAAAGTGATGGGAAACAGAAAATGTATTTTTATTTATTTATTTATTTTTAAATCATTTATGGTCAAAAGATTAAAAGAGAAAAAATTGCTGTCAGAATTTTTTTTCTTTCCTTTTAAAGTCAAATAGGCATTCATAGCTATTTTTTAAATTCAGTCTTTTAATCACAGCAATAAAAAACGATTCTTTAATTCATGCATTGTTATTAATATAATGTATAAGATTTCCCAAAAAATGTAACAGTTTGTAAACGTTCAGCTCGAGACACTAAATTGTGGTGCCAAGTTTCTACTCTTACTTTTTGAAGTTGAATGATTGAGAGGCAAAAAAAAAAAAGGGGGGCAAGTGAAATTGAATTTAGTTAAGTGTTAAAAGCTCCAGGCTCTGAAGAAAAGATGGTTGTCTGGAGTTAAAACTTTTCTGTAACAAAGGTGTCTTTAAGGGAGTATGTGTTTGTGCACATGTGTGAGGGGGAGAGAGAGAGATGAGAGCATGGCTGCAGGCTGACAGAGGTCCTGGTATAATACAGTGGTGGAGAGCAGCGACTGATAACTATACTTATGGCCACTGGGGCTCATAGTGACAGCACATGCACTCCTATTACTGGTCCCATGCCTCATGCCCTTATCTCTGGCAGTGTGCCACTGAGGGACCACACTGCCCTCTGCTGTTGGTTTAGAGGAAGTTCAGGCTTATTGAGAATTCAGTCAGGCATTCATAGCAATGACTCAGGGGAGAAACTTGTGACTGGGTTTTGACAGTACTCCACTTCTTTGAATTTTAGCAGTGATTTATTGTCTTTCTGTGCATTCCTATAAGCCACAGCAGTATACCTTCGCTTGGAAAATTGTATGGTCTGTCTTTTTCTCTGCGTGTGTGTGTATGTTTTGGTTTTTTGTTTTTGTTGTTTGTTTTTTAACCAACAGGTTTTCTTAGATCTAGATGAGTAGTTTAGCAGGTGTTTTCTCAGACAGGTAAATGCTAACCTTATCTGCCTAAATCACATTGTCTCTCTCTTTTTTTCCAGTTCTGAGTATACGAGGTGTGCAGGAGGAGGACCCCCCAGATCCTCAGATCATGCGGCTGGACAATATGTTGCTAGCGGAGGGTGTGTCAGGACCAGAAAAGGGCGGCGGATCGGCTGCAGCGGCTGCAGCTGCAGCGGCAGCCGGAGGCTCCCCCACCGACAGCAGCATCGAACACTCTGACTACAGAGCCAAGCTTGCCCAGATCCGCCAGATATATCATTCCGAGCTGGAGAAGTATGAGCAGGTTTGTGCTGAATGCACATCGGGGACATGCATATGTGACACATTCCTTGCTTGTACAAAAAAACATTTTGGCAACCCTTGACCGTAAGATGAAAAGTGACTTTGTTTGTTGTTTGGTCAAACACAAGATAACTGGAAAAACAAGATACATTTGTGAAACTGCTCAACAGGGCTAGTGATGTGTAATAGACAAAAAGTACAATGGACAAAAGAAGTGTCCAGTTTATTTTCTAGTGCACTGGGAAATTATATATTTTAGGTCCACATGGAAAAAAATGTACAGGAATTAAAACGGGAACAAAGTATCTAATATTTGTTTTAAAAGACTGTATTTGTTTAATAATTTCTATTATCAGATGCTATATTGTTATTCAGAGTAGTCTGAAAGCAGATGCTTCAAAACGATCCCACTGGCACTGGGCAGAATTTGTGCTGTGTCCTTCTTTTGACAATAGTATTCAACTGCTCTCTCTCCCCCTTCCTCTCTCTTTGTTCCAGGCCTGTAGTGAGTTCACCAACCATGTAATGAACCTGCTGAGAGAGCAGTCTCGCACACGGCCCATCTCTCCCAAGGAGATTGAGCGCATGGTGGCCATAATCCACCGCAAGTTCAGCTCCATTCAGATGCAGCTCAAACAGAGCACCTGTGAGGCTGTGATGATTTTGCGCTCACGCTTCCTTGATGCCAGGTCTGTCTGTGTGGGTCTACATGATATGTTTATCATCTGTGTGTTGACTGGCTGGTTACCTTCCTGTGGGCAGAAATGATCTGAGCACTTAGAAATGATTGTTTTATCAGATGCACATTCCAAAGATACTGGTCATTATCTTGCTGTCTCTCTTTCTCTGTCTCTCAGACGTAAGAGGCGTAACTTTAACAAGCAAGCTACGGAGGTGCTGAACGAGTATTTCTACTCCCACCTTTCTAATCCTTATCCAAGTGAGGAAGCCAAGGAGGAACTTGCCAAGAAGTGTGGGATCACTGTGTCTCAGGTGAGTTGCCAACATAACTGTCATCCGGTATAGAGTAGAGATTATATAGTTGTTGAATCCAGGATTTTAGCCAGTTCATTTTATTTTTTATATAAGTAAAATAAGACTGAATAACTAAACAATTGTGGGGTGGGGGTGCCAACAGATGAGATGCACGGCAGATAAAATAAATGCAAATGACATCTGTCTGGTCCTCAGGTCTCTAATTGGTTTGGCAACAAGAGAATACGCTACAAGAAGAATATTGGTAAGTTTCAGGAGGAAGCGAACCTCTACGCAGTTAAAACAGCGGTGGATGCGGCCAATGTGTCGGCGCAGGCCAGCCAGGCTAATTCTCCGGCAACGCCCAACTCAGGTACCGCATGCTCCATTTCTTCTACCCACATAGGCTTCACCTTTCTTGTTAACAAGCTTCTCTTCCTTTTGTATAAGCTTTTGTCCTTGCATAACTGGACCACAGGATGAGTGTATAGTGGACTGACATAATGGTTCACAGGAAAATTCACAATGCAAACTGCAAATAAGCTCTCACTCAGCTACCACGCTAAGTGTTTGTAGTTCTCTGAAATGATCTCATAGAAAGAAGGATGTATGCTGGTACATATTACATTAGTTATAATAATCAGTATTGAGGCAGTAACATAGTATGCACTTTTACATTCTGAAACAGAAAATTGCATGTACCATTTGGAAAATTTGGGCACATACCTTCAGCTTGTTTATTTTTTTTAAAGAACCTTGCTTATCCAAATATTTTACAAGAAACTATATGCTTATATTTTCTGAGCAGTTCCTTCACCAATCTGTTTAAGTAATTATATTTTGTCATTCAAACATAAATTACCTTTTAATGGAATGAGCCACAGTACTTACAGGATATTATGCTCTGTAAGCAATATTGAAATGACATAATGCATTATGTTATGCATTATGTCATAATGCATTATTACCCCAGTTGCTGTATTTTTTTATAGTTTTGTATTTTTTAATGATATGTTCTATATGTAGATATGGGACTGCATCCATACACACATGTAAAATGTAGATGGTACATTTCGTAACTCTAGTAGTGACAGCACTAAACTGTAGCTTATAAAATGCGGCTCTGAGCGCTCACCTGTCTGAAGTGTTGTACAAAATTTTATGTGCAAGATTCTCAATTAATATCTACAGTCTGTCATTGTGACTTTGTGTATTCAGACCTGTGCTATGTTGAATGTTTTACTTTCATAGTTAATGTACGTACAGAGATCCTGACATGATAATACTTACATTGCGACTTTAAAGTTACAGGGATGTAGAGCATATTAGAAAGGATACTTGATGTTGTTGATACACTGACACAAATGGTCCCCCATAATTAATTCGTTTTTTTTCTTGAACTGTTTTTGGAGTGGTCTACAAAAATCTTTAAACTTATATATGCAAGCAGCTTAAGTGGACCTTTTTAGGTAGAGGCTCTGGTTCATTTAATCGCTTCCCTTCTTGGGGCTTCTGTGTACTGAAACATACATTTTCCTTTTGAATTTTAGCTTTTTGGCTTAATTTCGTCTTAATTTCATCTAATAAGACACAGGATAAATGCAGCTGTCTGTGCCATCATTTCCAGAGCTTTAAATTTCAGGCCATCTGGACTAAAACGCAATCCTGGAGTTTTCACATTGAAACTGAGTCAGCTACATTTTCAAAAGGCCCCGTTGTAGTGGTGTGGAAATACCGGTTTAGTGCAGGCATTACACATGGAGATAACAAAACCGACTTATTTCAAAACAAAAAGGTATTTGTGTTGATGTTTTGCTGTTTCACCAGTTAGTGGACACTGAAGCATATTCTGCGCAGAATCTTCCTTTAGGTTTTATAAATATGAGAAAATAGTAACAATGACCCTGATTTTCAAAGCGTTGTCCCTGAGCAATGGTAACCTTTTGAGTCCATTACAACGTGGTGAGGCTGATTGGCTATTGGATATACATTGCCTGCAGGGTCACCAGGGTCATTCAGCTTATCTCACACAAGCGACACCTACCTTGGCCTACGTTCCCTCAACGGGGAGGGTCTCAACATCGCCCCCTCTCTACAGGTATGCACTGAGGACAGCTGTGGAGTTGGCAGTTGCCCTCAATGCTGTTAACCTAGCCACCCCACTTCCCCAGATATCTTCCCTTAGGCTAGCTCCTTTTGACCTCTCCTCATTTCCTCCCCTTGGCTTTGTCTTTATCACCACTGACTCCTGCTCCACACAGACCTATGTAGAGGAAACCTTGAGGAGCATTTGCCTTTACTCATGAGAATGTAGGCAATGTAGTTTGTGTCATATGTTCAGCAAGCATAGGACCCGGTTCAATATGGAAACGTCTGTGTGGGGTCATCAGGGTTCTTCACAAAGTTGTCTTCATGCAGCTGGTATATTCCTACAAACCAGGTCTGGGGATTGATCCTGTAGTCCCTCTGGTTAATCATCTGTTTCTCTATGTCTAGGTTGTCCTATATTTCCAAGTGTGTCACAGTATCCTGCCTTTTTCAGTCCTTGTTTTCCCCCAAGTGTTCCAAAAATCCCGTGTCTTTATATAAAACCCATTTCCAAAAACACTGGGTCACTATGTAAAATGTAAACAAAACAGAATGCAGATATCAGCAGACAATTTAAGCCTTATATTTAATTGAGAATTGTACAAAACCAGCAAGCCAGATGCTGAAACGGAGACACAGGGCATGTTTGTGACTATTGCATCACCTCTTCTCCAGTTACTGTAATTTTGAAAAGGAATTGTTTACCCATTTTTGCTTGCTTTAGTATTTCAGTTGCTCAACATTTCAGGGTGTTCTTTATTTTACTTTTTTGTTTGTTCTCTGCCAGATATTTTCAATGGGTAACAGATCTGGATTGCGGGCAGGGCAGGTCAGCATCTGGACTCTTTTATTATGGAGCCAAGCTGTAGTAATTCATGCACAATGTAGCTTGGCACCGTCTTTCCAAAATAAGCAAGGCTTTCCTTGAAAAGGATGTTGCTTAGATCGAAGCACATGTTGCTCCAAACATGCACATATCCTGTTAAGGGACCTGTTGCCAATTAAATTTATTGGTTTGTGGTTTTCTTGTCATTTTACTGCATTTTGTTACCACGTGTCAATAAAAATCCAAATTATAGTATGTGATATGTAATCTTCATTCAACTTTTCACTTGTATAGAATTTTAGTTATTGCAAATCATTGCATTCTGTTTTATTTGCATTTTATACAGAATCCTAGCATTTGGAAAAGGTGTTGAATTCATAGGAGTAATGTGCACCATACTCACGTAGATGCAGAAGAGATTTTATTAAAGTGAATTGTTCTTGTTACTTGTCTGTGAAAAGAATTGTCATTTTGTTGTTTTGGATGGATCCACAGATTTCTTCTGTTAAGCACCAGTATAAGAGGAGGTAAAGCACTGCATTTTGGCTTCAGCTGCAGTCTTTCATTCAGACCATAAGTGGTTTAATGGAGAGTCATGAAGCTGATTGGTGAGCTGCAAATTTTAGTGCTCGCACTGAAACAGGGTAGTAGATGAGCTGTATTTTTGAGTAGTGCAGTCTGGCTCTGATGCCTACAGGAGAGGTTTGTGGATGCTGTAACTTCACTGGTCAGTCTGTGGAAAAAATATTTGTCTAATTGTGCTAAACTGTGTGTGTGTGTGTTTTAAATGTTTTGTCTCTGACAGGTGGATACCCTGCACCCTGCTACACACCTGACGGGCGGCTATGAGGAGTTGTCAGGTAGTGGCCTCTACACCCCTCATCGCCTGGATGTGAGTACCAACTTAAACTCATGTGGTGTAGCTGATCAATAAGTATTTGGGATGCCTGAATACTGCTCTGTACAGTGCTCTTAAAGTATAGAACATTTTAATTGTGTTGAAATTGTCAACTTTTTAAAGGTCGATGAAATCCAAGCACTTTCGCTGAGTTTCAGTTCATTTAGCTTTTGACTTGGTTACTTAAGAAAATGACTAAATATATGAATGTAAGAAGAAAAATAAACTTTGCTTCATGCAGGAAAAGTAACAGCAGAGAAAGAGAGAAATTTTGCTTTGCCCTCCAGTTTAAATTAAATGTGGGGTTGTATGTGCCAGGATTTATTGATTTCTGCAAATGTGTGTGTGGAGAGTTCTTTTCAGTTTTGAACTTGTACATAAACTAAATGTTTTACAAATCAGTGTGTTCTGTTTTGATGTTGTGCACCTATTGTTTTTTTTTTAAGAAACAGGTTGGTAACTTTACTTCTATTACTTCAGTAATACCCACTGCAAGTTAAAACATGCTAAAACATGAGCTACTGTAAACATGTTCTGGAGTTACGCATCTGGATTTGAGCACCTTCACTTAGTACATTCAGAAAACCAGGAAGAAGCAGTACTGTGTTTTAACAAAGTGGTTCCCTATTATTTGAACCATTTTGTCTTGCGGATGCATCCTTTGATTACTAAGCACAAATGTAGCTGATTAAGACTGTTATTTATTAAAACCTCCCTTCTCATGTAGAATCCTTCCTCTGTTGCTTTTTGCAGGCTAACAGCTGGCAGGACACCACCAACCTCCCCTCGGTTACCTCCCCTCCCGGTCCTCCTGGCAGTGTCCACTCCGACACCTCCAACTGATCTGTTGGCTCTTCCTGCCATCACTTCAGTCCCACCGCAGTTTGCTCTGACTACCATCTTCAGTCCCTCTTTTATTTTTTTTATTTTTTATTTTTTTCTCTTCACTACTTTCTTGTCTCTCTACTCAACTAGATGGCCACACAAGGCTTTATTTGCATTTCATAAACACACTGTGCTGGAACACAGGACAGCCGAACAGTAGCTAGGAGGACTTCTCCATCCAGCTCTTCTGAATTCAGCTCTACCCTAATGCTCAACGCTTCGTAACTCAGATTTGAAAGGGGGTTGGAGTTTACTGAGGCTGAGAAAACATGTTCTGTTAAGGACATTTCTGAAGACCACTCACCCAGCTGTGTAGATGATCATGATGTCTGTACATTATGTGTATATGCACGTTAACTTCACACAGTACTTACAGTTTGTTCACGTGCTGTTGACCTCTGCACTTAACCCTTTGCTTTGGAAAACTGTGTGTGATTGCCTGTATCTCGTGAAGCCTTGGCATTTGACAGCCAAACTGTTGATACGGATCACCAGGGAGCTCTGCTCACCTTGCTCGTACCAAAGTGCTGCCCCAGTAGTCGTCAACACATCTCTTCCTCAAAGATCACCTTCTGCCAACTCAATACAAGAGACTACTGTATCTTCTGGTCCTTATAGCTCGATGTTTCATTCTGTTGGAGATTTCAAAGACCCTTCCACAACATACACTTTGCAACTTTACAGTCGTTTTCATAGTGAGCTGACATAAAAGATGTGTCAAGCACAAAAGTTAGCATCCTTGTTATGGGTGTCTCTACCTGTAAAAGGGTAGTTAAGGGGATCACTGTTCTAAACCAGGCAGGACAAGTGATAATAGGGCTGATGAGAAGAGGAGGAAAGGGCAGAGCGAGGACAACATCTTTGGTTGAGTGGATGTAACTAATAGCCCTTTTTGTTGCTAACCAATAGAGGGTGTTGGTAGATGGCTTGTAGACTTTACTTCTTGCTTTCTGTCCACTAGTTTATTTGATTGTAGGCTATTTTCTAATGCTGTTTCACCAAGAATGCACCAGCCACCACCAAAAATTTGCTCAATAAAGCATCTAAATGACGATAAAAGAAGGGTGGAAAGATTTTGGGGCATTGATGTGTTATTGGGACAAAACGTGTCATGAATTTAGAAACGTGACTGTCTTCCATGCATGTAGGACTTCTAGGCGTGATATTGTTTTCATTTAACCTTCCGAGTTTTTAGCTTCATTTTTATTAACAAAAAATAAAGGGTATAATTATTACAGTCAGACCAAAAAGGAAAAAAGTGCATCATGTATTGCTATGATGTGTGTGTCTCTGTGGGCGTGTGTACAGTGTTCTTGGGATGTCTTAGTCAAAATGGCTGGTGCCCTCTGACCTTTGTAAACATAGAGACTGGGTGCTTCCACCAGCCGATCACACACCAGATGGGGTTCAGCTGAGATCTCCCCCCAATCTTGAAACATTTAAGCTTGTGAGCCCGAGGCAACACACTACAACCTTCTGTTGTACCAAAACCAAAAATATCAAGTTCAGTAATGTAATAATGCTACTCTGTGTCTCTAAAGTTGGTGCACAGCCACCTTCTCAGTTTGAGGAGAGGAGGGAATTATATTTGTATCTGTGTCTCTCTGTGTGGTGTTGTCATGCCTCAGTTGATTTGATTTTTGGGGCTTTTCGTTGTGGGGCGAGTAGTGTCGTATCACACTTGTAATTTGATTGTGAGCATAGAAGGAATGCTCTCCTTTTTACCCATCTTTTAATACCTTCTGGTAAAACTACAATTATTTTATCTTTAGTTCTATGGCCAATTGGGCAAGGGCTTCTCTCTCTCCTCTGTTACCAAAAAAGAGGCAGTCCTGGGTGTAGCAAAACTCTTAACCCACATTTCAGACAACCCCGCAACATTTTGGGTGATTTCATTGTTTGGAACTATTTTATACATTAGCTATTATGTGAATAACAAAGCATTTTTGATAGTAAGGTAAAGCCTTATGAAGATTTAAGTGTCAGTCAAGACTTTGAAGCATATGTTACAGAACAAAACTTGAGCTTGAACGCTGATCACATGTGATAACCCTGAGTACTCGTTTTGTTACTCATTGCAGTTCATATGACTGTATCTTATAATGTTATTGCCACACCAAATTATCACGCCCCCGCCTTTTTCTACCTGTTGTAATGGATGTCACTGTACAGTTTGTGTAATGTTTCAGTAATTTTTCTTTTTTTCGTATATAAGTTTTGATGTTTGGTTGAAATGCCTGTTTATTTTTGGCCTTTGTATCACAGGATTCACAATAACTATCAGTTTAAAATATTATTTAGGTCTTTTGTTACATACTTGGGTTGAAATGTATGCTATACAAATGTAATTGTATTTGGTGCTGTGGAAAGATAACTGTATGAATTGAGGTTATAAACATTTTATTTCATGTATTGATTTATGGATCCACTTCCTTTCTTAATCTCCTCCAAGTTTCCTCAGTTATACAGTCACTTTTCCAAATATTCCCCAATTCTGGTGAAATTTTTACCTTCTCAAAACATTCCAAGAAACAGAAAATTGCAGTTTAAATACAAAATTGGTTCTTTTGAGCTGTAATAAGCCTCTCAGTTATATCTAAAATGTAGATACCTGTAATTTCAAAAAATACAGACAGCAAATTTGCAAACAGGAGTCAATGCTTTTCAGGTTTTTTGTTAGAAAAAAATTGTTTTACATTTAATCTGAAGATCTGTTTTTGTGTGCCACACCATAAACAGTGAATATAGCCTAAATACAGTTGTCCAAATCCCGTAATGTTGATACATACACTGTATGTCTCCTTGACACATTTCAGCCTTATGATTGTTTGGATTCTGTAAGTGACTAAATGACTTCCACAGCACCAAATGGCTTCTTAACCCTTTGATTTCTTTGATTTTTATTAGTCAATTTGTATCTCCCTTCTTTCCCTTGTATTTACCCCTCTCTCTACCTCTGTCTTTCCATTTCTCTTGTATATAACCCCCACTGTTTTCAGACTTGTGAGTCTGTATGAACTCCTTTTATACCTCAACTTTAGAATTGTTCTAGAAAGAGTAAAACAAAAAGGAAGAATATGACAAATTGTAGTGTTCTTATTAGAAAATTAATAAAATGATTTAGTGTGATTTTTTTTTTCCCCCCTTCAGTATTTGATTTCAGATTTTAGAAGTGTTTCATTTTATAATTTGTCACAAATGCTCTTGTGATAGTCAAACGTAATAAAAGGAGAGATTGCACCATCTGATGATTATGTGACTCTGTTAGTCTCGTGGAGACTTAAAAAAAAAAAGTCTTGTTCAGCCTTTAATTCAGTATCAAAAAGCAAACATGGAAAAGTGAGCTTTGCAGAATTTGGCTGATATCTAGAAGAATTAACTGATCTATACATCTTACTTATATTATTTTTGATCTGCCGTTTATAACCTAGTCACTGACCAGGCGTTGTCTTTCTTGATGTCGTCCTAACACAAGGCCTCGGCTTCTGACTTCAGGCCAGAGCCAAGTGTTTCCTGTAGGAAAGAAAATAATTTGAAGGTAACATGACACAGAAGATATCTTATGAATTTCAAGGTAGAGTTATAATATTTTATAGTGAAAATGGACTCAATTTACATTTAGCAGTTTAATTCAGTGTTTCCTTTAACCACTTTTACCCAGTGGTGTTTAAAGATTCAAAACAATTATTCTGTATCTAATCGGGGCCTTTTCCAGGAAGCAGGTTTAGTGAAAACTCTTGTTTGTTAATACTTGGATGAGACAAACACTTGGTCTTCTGTTTCGGGAAGAGTACCAGTTTTGAGTAAATGACTGAAATTAACCTGCTCACTGGCAGGCTCTCTCTGAATCCCATCCCCAATCTGCATGAAGCTTTTGAGGCAAAATACTGTTCAGTGAAGACTCGTATGTTGTGTTGGAGATGATGTGTGAACTAAAGACAGTCTTGTACTTTAGTTTTTTAAAATCCAGGTTACAGAAAGGAAATAGTATCTTTGTAGATTTAAATACAGTTAAATTCACAGAAATGTAAACGTCATCAACATTTACACAAAGAAATCCTAAAATTAAAAAACCTAAAGGAAATAAGAAATCAATGAAAAAAAATCTTATTGGGTCTGTCCTATATCATAAAACTGCATCTTATGTGTTTGAGCCACATCTTTATCTCAAGTTTCTACAGGTTACAGCTAAATAATTAGATTTCAAAATAAAATGTAAATCTTATGTAAATGAGGACTGAGCAGATGACTCTTGATCCCTTTTTTGTTTTTCGGCAATGTCACACAAAGAGTTGGTGGACTGATCCCCGACTCCTCCAGTCTATATATCCTTGGGCAAGATACTGAACCTCAAGCCGTCCCTGATATTGAAATAAAAATGGAGGCTCATCTTCTACCCATTCCCATGGTGAATCTTGGCATCAGAAAGTGGTTGTCATATGAACATACAATGAATTGAACCAACTATGATCAAACCTCTTAGCTCAATGTTACACTCTGATTTTGCTGAACCTGCTTTGTGGAACAAGGCCCAGGACAGGAAACAATACTTTTATGCATCATATTGTTCACTTACATATAGAGCAGATATGGAAAGTGAAAGCTCTCATGACTCATTGTGAAGAAATGTGAGAAACACAAATGAAACCTGAAGCAATGAAGAATAATCTCAAGTTTGAAAAAGATGCCCCAAAGACTATTTTGGGGTACCTTTTTTAAAGTGCTTTGAAGGTCTAAGGCAGGCAACTCCAGGCCTCGAGAGCCAGTGTCCTGCAGGTTTTAGATGTCACCCTGGGTCAAAACACCTAAATCATTACCAGGCCTCTGGAGAACGTCAAGACATGTTGAGGAGGTAATTTAGCCATTATATCAGCTGTGATGGATATAGGACACATCTAAAACCTGCAGGACACCGGCTCTCAAGGCCTGGAGTTGGCCACCCCTGGTCTAAGGTTTACATTTCACAGGTTGTATTCTGCACCACCGGGTCAACACCCTAATAAGTGAGGGTACCTCTCGCAGAGATGTGCCCCTCTTGACAAGTGAAAGTTGCCTCTGCTGATGAACACCTCTCCGACACAGAGAGCACAGGATCCACTTGAACGTCGTCCGCATCTCGTCGTCCCGTAGGGAATAGATGATAGGATTGACCAGAGAGTTGCACTCAGCTATGAACAAACAGTATTTCTCATAGCGGTTGGCATGACTCTCTTTACCCAACAGTCCATCCAGTAAGAGAGTCACGAGGCCAGGCGTCCAGCAAATTACAAAGGCACCTGCAGAGATGCAAACTGTTGATAAGAACTGGAAGTAAACTTTATTTAAAGATGGGACATAATGACACAGCAGAGTCTCTTGGGTCATACTGGTAGCTTGCTTGCTTAATTTCAAGGCTAGTTGCCAGAGAGAACACATTTATGCTCAGGAGATGAGTCACCTAAAGAAAAAGTTGTATTATGACGATAACCCCATGTCAGTTTTACTCGGAAATCCTAACAATCTATCAGCTTAAAAGATCAGCAGTAATCGGGTATGATCTGACAAACAAGAGCTGCAAAACTGGTTGATAAATGACTGGGTGTACACACGCCAAGCATTATAACTAAGATCAGTGAGATAAAGCACATCAACAATAGTCAGCTTTACTACAGAAAACAATACTGAAAGTTCATATGAAGTGAAATTCAATAAAAGTCACTACGCTTTCCTGCAAAAATCTGAAAATAATGCCGCCAACGACTATCAGTATGTTAAAGTTTTGTACCATGTACGTTAGTAATTTAAGAGTGCTAAAATTTTCAAGCTTATTAGAAATGAAACTATTCTAACTTCCCCTTTGACCGAAAAGTAAACAGCTCCTCACCCAGGACCATGGATATCGTCTTCATCAGGTTGACAACAGTCTGCTGTCGGATCTCTGTGACTTGTTGAGACGTGTTCTTACTTTGGTTCTTCACGTAGATAAAGATTCGAGTATACACGGCCACCATAACGAAGAACGTGAGCAGGTTGAGGACTGCCCAGAAGATAAGGAAGCGGCGGCTGTAGAGCGGCGCAAGGGTGGAGCAGTCCTTAAGATCACACTCGCAGTTCCAAAATGTCGGCACCAGGCCCATGATGATACCTGTGGCCCAGATGCATACTATCAGCAGCACCACACGCCGCTTTGGCATAGTGCTGTGAAGCTGCATGGTGATGATGGTCTGGTGTCGCTCCACAGCAACAGCAAGGAGGTTGGCCACAGAGGCTGTCAAGCTGATGTCAATCAAAGCGCCGCGGATATACCACTGCTCCTTGGTAAGTGTTCTAGTCCACGGGCCTGTGTGCAACATCAGGTTGGTATAAGCAATACCTGCAAACAGGTCTGCTGCAGCCATGTTCCCCAGGAGATAGTAGATAGGAAAGTGAAAGCGGCGGTTCATAAAAATGGCTATCATCACCAGCAAGTTGGCCAGGAGTACAATAACACATACTGTCAAGCCCAGTCCAATGACAACATAGTCCCGTGTATTCCATCCTGTACTGATCGTCTTATTCACCACTTTGTAGAAGAAGGTGACATTCTCGTTGTAGTAACAGGTATTCTCCACAATGCTCTCTGTGGCCATATCTGCAGACACAAAGTACATGTTCAAGATGTTAACCTGCTGTCTACAAGTAGTGAGTCAACAAGGAAATTTTTCATCCTTGAGCCACATCCCATTTGCTTATATTTTGTTTGGAAAGTGTGCAAACATGCATAAAAATTTCGTATATGAAACAAAAGAGTTTAAGCAATTCTAACAAGCTTTGAAGTCAACGTTTGGAATGAAAACCTTTGTTCTTCAGCACAGCTGGAACGCTCTTAGGCAAGCTCTCAAGTACACTTCAGGAATACTTCTCCAAGCTGCTTGAAGGACAGAGCTCTTTGGATGTTGGTTGCCTTTTGTTCCGTGCTCTGTCTAGATGATCCCACACTGTTTCAATAATGTTTGAGGTCCAGGCTCTGGGGAGGCCAATCCATGTCTGCTAGTGTTCCAATGGGGAGCTTTTTCCTATCCAAATATGCTTTTACTGCATTGCCACTGTTTTTTGGATTGCTGCAACGCTGAAAAAAATGGAGACATCACTTTCCAGAGTATTCCATGGTGGATCAAAATCTGACTGTACTGTCTGTGTTCATAATTACATCAATTTTGACAAGCTCCCCAGCACCACAGACTAAAATGCAGAAAGGAAATGGCTTTAGAATTTTAGAAAGTGCTGAAGACACCCACTGTTGTACTTCTGTCTTGACCTCATGTGTACACGCTGACAAGGATTTAAACCAAAAATGCAAAATTTGGATTCATCACTTCATAAGGCCTGTTGCCACTGATTTTCGGTTTAGTTCTTGTGTAATTTGGCAGACCTCATCCTGCTCTCCCCGTTTCCACCGAAAGCATTTCTGATGAGACTTTAGTGAACAGTTGATGGATCAACTGAAACACCAGCGGCCCTCCTGTGTCAGGTCTTTCCCATTTCTTAAGGACATTACTTTCAGATACTGTTCATTTTATGTTTCGTTTTGACCCCTTCTTTTTTGGTCCTACACTTATCTAGTTTCCTCATTTTTTGAAGGACACACGGAAGAATCACCTTATTGGTGTAAGAATATACTACTTTTCTGCCTGTCCAATTCTGTTGTCATCGACTAAAGAAACGAGAACAAATTATGCGTTTTAACCACAGGCTGTTAATAACAAATGGCTACAGATCAAACTTAGAATTTGCTCAATTTTGCTATTTTTTTCTGTTGACTCAACACTGGTTCATCTCACAAGTTGGAGACCTTTTTATGCTTGAATAATTCATGTTAAGTGACTTCTGAGGTAAAGACATTCTTCTACAAAGACTGAACTGAAAGTGATTCTTTGCACCCATATCACTTGTTGTAAAAACACCTGACACGATTGTGCAAATAATTCCCGTATCTGAGTCATGGTACACCCAGCAGTGACTTTAGACTCAAGTGTTAAAACATGGACGTCTCTGCATTGATTTAGGGTGGATTGGATTGTTAATTGGCCTCGTCCAAGTGCAATGATCCAAAACAACATTAATAGTAAAAAGTATTACAAAAGCAGTAAGACCGTGCGTACGTGCGGCTTTAGAAATCTGAAGAAAGAAAATGCGCAAGAAATTCTGGTTTTGTGAGCACACGCAAGGCTTTCGTTGTGAATTTAGAGTTTCAGGTGTGCGCTTAGAGTCTAAAACAGTGCTCTTTCTGAGACCGCTGGGGTTAAAGGAGATAAAAGTCGGAAAGTAAGACATTTCCGTTAATACAGCCTGTTCAGACCTGAAGTGAAGTGACCTATGTGTCACTAATACCCGCTCGTGCAACTTAATCTCATGTAGACTTTTAACATGTAAAATATATAATAATTGTAGTAAATTACGACATGAACCCTACCGTCCGTCTTAGCGTGTCCTCCATCAAGACAGGTCCGACATGAAACAGGGGGTGTTGGGTGCCATTTGAAAGGAAAACAGAAGACCCTCTGGTTATTCTCACTGTTAAGTGTTCAGGCGACCGCACGTTTTCAAGCCGACGCCTTTTTGAATGAGGATCAGCTGGACCTGACAGACAGGTATCGGTGCTGCCTCCACGTACAGCTTGAAAAATCAGACAACAGAAACTCTGTTTAAGGCTAAACATGAACTAAATTTGAAATAGCTTTGGGACCTGCTGGAGGAGTTTTATCAGTGAGGAATACAAAAGAAAATGCACCTCGAATTAGAAACAGTAATGCAGAAGAAACACACGCAGACCCCCCCTCATCTTTCTGAGTTCAAATTCTTAATTTGGACTGACTATAGAAAGACATTTACACTGAGGGAAAAATCACTATAGTGATAACAACAGAATTTTAATAACGTGGACTAAATTACCAGAGTACTGCACATTTGTTGAGAGTATTTGTATTTAATGGTTATTTAATTTTTGCAGTATTAGAACAGTGTGAATGTTGAATCGCGAAGGTTTATTGCCCTCCAGTGGCCGCGATCACGCATTGCAGTCGGAGTGATTTTTCCTGTACTCCACACAATGTTGCTCCAGGTCAAGAAATGAAAGTGACTCATCACTGTTGTAAATTCTAATAGCTTTGGGACTTAAAATCATTAGGAAGAAAAAAAAAGGCTGGAAAACAGTGACTACCTGATATAAATCTAACGTTTAAAACAGTGCAAAACTAGTATCAAAGATGCAGATTTGCGTAAGTGGGTGGCTTTGTGCTATCCCGTGAGTTAACAGATGTGTGAGAAGTTTGTTTTCTGATAGAAAAAAAAAAATATATTTCTAAGACACGTTTGATATATGTTAAAAATATTTATAAACAGTCTTTTCATTGTTTAAATCTAACCATGTTACATATACAGACTGATGATACTGAAAATAACACCAGCAAATCAACGATGCTGCTCTTTAAATCACCAAAACCAGATTTCTGACAGCATTTCTCTCCCACGACCTAATGTTTTCACCAAGTTGCAAAAAAGTATGACATTTCTGATACAGCCATGAACACACACTGCCCTAAAAATACAAAATTCTCGGTCACATTGAGTTATAGCTTTTGATCACACCAATGATACTATGTGGAGAGAGATGCAACTAAATATCAAGGCATGTATACACCTTTGAGCACCCTGAAACTCTGTGGAAGGTTAATCTTTAGATGCATGAATGGCTGGACCCTGCACGTTTCCATCACTGGGTCAAAAATGTCTAGAATCAGTGTGTTTTTGTTTTCATTTGGTGTCATTTTTGGTTAAGAAGAATCATTTGTATTATATGTTGGTCTACACAAGAATCAATCATTGTTTTAATTTTGTATTTTTCACTATTTTTACATTTTTAAAACATTTTGTAAATTGGGACAAAAAGAGACAAACCAACAGCATCCACTTGTGTGTGTGTGTGTGTCACTGTCCATACAGTTTCTCTCTCTTTTCACTTGTGAGACACTGTCTGTTTCTGACTGTAATTACTTCACACAGGTACATGGCATTTGGTTAGTCCTGTCTGCTTTTTTCCTGTGGCTGAGTTGTGGCTTTTGTCACCCCACAACTTACCATTTCGCTGATCAGGGTTTGCAGTTGGGTGCAACCTTACAGTCGACTTCTCATGTTTGTTGTGACAAGCTCTTTTGAGAGCGCAGTGAGGAAGACCTATCTTGCATTGGTGATACCATTCTTGAATTCAGGGTGCTGACCCATGAAAAAGGTGTAAGCATTCAGGCTGGTGATGTCCAGTTGTACCACAGCACCATGGGCAGCCTCTATTGTGACATTTGCAAGTGTAGATGCCAACATATTTGGTCTATGGGGTCTACACCTCCTTTGGCCTTGTTGTAGAATGTGATCAGTTCTGTTTATTTCTTTCTGGTATTTTTATCCACCATTGATATTAATCATCACAACAACCTTTCCTTTCTTTCTGATATAGCTGACCACAGTAAGGTGGACACTGAAGCCAAACTCTGTGCTGTAAACCTCCCTGAACCTAGAAGCCTGGCAAAATGGCATGATATCAAAAACATGTTTTTTGAGGAATAGCTGGAACATGAAGTGATAGAAAGTTTTCATTAAGAAAACAGCCTGACTGGTTGATTTTATGCATCTTATGCACCTTATGCACATCAGAGTTAAGAGAGCATCTCACATAGCAGAAAACAGATGATCAGGAGGAGGAAAATGCAATGCTGTGGAAGACTAAGCATGAGATGTATCAACAGCAGATAAGACGAGGTGGTTGACATAAAGAGGGGGTATAGCAATGCCGACAGGACCCAGGTTGCAAGCCGTGCAAACCCTATGGAACATAATTGAAGCAGGTTGATAATACCACCGGTTGGACTTCAATCAGCTGCTGCAAGGCACAGTGGTCTCTTTTCTATTGACTACAAGAAAAGGGCAGTTGCAATACATGTGATAATCCCAATACCAAGAGCTGAACGAACAGCTGAAAGAAATGTGGAAAGCGACGTCCAAGTCAGATCCTGTGATAAATCCCGAGATCTGTATAGATGAGTGTAGTAAGATACTCTTGATCTGTAATAAATACACAGTAAATTTCCTGTTCTAGTTGTGTAGAGTAATATTAATAAGTAAGTAAAGCTATTTATTAAATGAATGATACACCAGTAATAAATACATGCTATCTCACTTAATATCTGAAACAGCAAACACGGTGGTAGAAGTTTATTTCTGTTATTGACAGAGGTGATCAAATAGCATTACTTAATATTTGGTCCCTCTTGCGGTCATTTGTGGAACTACACTACATTAAAAAAGCATACTGTGGCGTATTTCGTTCATTAACCTCTGAAGGCTGTAACGTGACCATAATTATTTTAATTTTCTATCTTTATACTTTTAAGTATTGTAATAAAAGAATAATAATAACAGTAAACCAATGTGTTGTGTGAGGTGAGTTTTTCAGTCGCAAGTAGAGCTCTGTATTGCTTGATTTGGATGGGAAAACGGCAGCTCTGCTACAGTAAACTGGTCAACTGTTACTATTTCATGTAATAATCGCACTGACAATTTAAAGCACAGCGATGTATAGACTGAAACGAAGGGTAATATTTACTTAATTTTAAATGTACTACTTTATTTTGAAATTAATTAGCGGAAGTGATGGCACGTTTCCCTTTTATAATGTGACCGCAAGAGGAGAGTTTTCACTTAGCCCAAACTGGAAATCACTGATGATAATTTTATACAGAAGTGTGACACTATTTTTGATTGATTTAGAAGTAACAAATATAACTTGATAAATAACAGTTAAATTGATACAACTAATAATTAGCCAAATTTTTTTTTACCTTACGTTTTTACTGTTATTTTTTTTAAACACGTCAGTTTGTTTGCTACAGTTATTTTGAAATTACGTACAGGAAATATACGTTTTAAATTGTTATTTGCGGCAACTTGACGCAACTTGTGCAGTAGTTCCGCATTTTGACCGCAAGAGGGCAGTAAACGTTCACTTTAGTAAAGGACTATTTATTAACCCAAAGAAAAACAAACTGTTATTAGCTGCGCGTGTGAGCAACGTCCATTAATGTAGCTGGATATATCTTCGGGAATCTGTGTTTTAAATTAATATTGTATAATAACTAATAAAGTCACGGGGTCACAATCTTGTGCACTTCTATTGTAGTGCCTGTCCAAAGCATGCATAAATGAGAGGGCTAAAAGAGAATGCCCAAAGGTACTCAGCAATATAAATAAATATAACCTGATAAGTTAGAAATCACATTTAATTTAGGCGCTTTCATATGCTTAATATCAGTATGCTTAATAGTTTTTCATTAAATTAGGTTCAGAAATGTTAGTCCCTTATAAGTTTGTATTGACGGCGAAAAGACGTGTTGAAATGTAGTTCCTGCCTTTGACCGCCAGAGGGCAGTGAACTTTATTATTATTATTATTATTATTATTATTATAGATATTGACCTTTCCTATCTTGACTAACCTAAAAGCAGTTATAACGGCGCATGTGGGCCAAGCCCGCAGTTAATTATTTGTAATGCCCCTCTAGTAAACATCTGACGTGACCTTATTAACTTCAGTCTTTATTAACAATTCTTATACACGTATTCAATCTGACTTGTTACACAATGCGCTCGCTCTAAATTTTCCAATGTGACCACCAGAGGGCGTTTGGCATTGTGCCCAGTTTGACGTCAAGTCAGACATAATACAATAACATCACTTCCGACAAGTACCTTCAAAATAAGACATCCTAAATTTCTATATTTTCCTACTTGACAACATTGAAATAATACATTATCAGTCTGAAGAATGTATTATTAAAGCAAGAACCGTAAGAAAACCGCTTAGCCAATGTTTTCTGACTGATTAGCTGTGCCCCATGTACAAAGTGCTAATCTTGACTTTGATACGTGCTTTCTGCAGGTATGTTACAAAAGCTGTCTCTTTGACTTTTGACTTTTTGTTCATACCTGTGAAGTATGATGCAGAACTCAATATAAAAATGCAATTTTTTAAATTTCATAAATACAGGAGATTGCATTATTTTTTAAACTGGGGCTTTCTTGAGACTAAATAAGCAGAGCCCCGTGCTCATTTAGTCTGTGTTTAGGGAAAATTAAAGCAACACATTTGTCATTCTTCATAGTAATCCCAACTATCTGCTCCCAGTTGAGACTGTGCTGCACACAAGCTCCATTAGATTTCAAACAGAAAGAGACTGGAAAGGGAAAATCTTTGTTTATTTTTTTATTTTCTATAAAAAAAAAAAATTTAAAAAAAAGAGAGAGATGAGTTTATTTAATGATCATAACAGACTTAATCAGAGACCTCGATAGACCACTCACATACGATAATCGAGGAAAATGTCTGAACAAAACCCCCAAAACAGAACAAATGTAACACAAAATAAGATACCTGAATAAAGCAAACTCTGGGCTGAGCTGCAGGTCAGCACATTCTCCGTAAAACTCATGGCACGTTATGTCCAACAGTTATTATGACAAGGGAAAAAAAGGCTAAAAAGGAATGACATTTTGTTTTTTACCCTTTCAAAACCAATCTAA